CACACATATATATATATATATATATATATATATATGAATATAAATACATAAATAACTAATACATAAATAACTGTTTTCTATTTGTCATATAGTCCTTCAGACATGCTGATTTGCTGCTCAAGAAACATTTCTTATTATTAATGTTGGATTATTAATGTCAGGATTCTTTGATGAATAGAAAGTTCAAAGGAACTGCATTTATTTGAAATATAAATCTTTTGTAATATTATGAATTTTCTTAATGTCTTGTAGCTTTATATATTATAATTTTGAAGCAGCTTCTACACTGCAGGGGAAAAATTTGTCTGTTCTCATATGTTTGTTTACTACTGTAATGCAGTTTTAACTTGTTTTAAATGAGATTATCTCTTTCTCCAAACGGCTTTATAATGCGAAGCAGGCAGACGGAGAGGGCTGGGGTTTTATTTTTGTTTGTTTGCATAATTCAATTTCAAGGGAGCAGGGTTGACAGGCCTGGTAACCTTCAGATGTCCTCTGGGGCGGTCTTGGGGGCAACAGGGGAAGGGGAAGAGAGGGAGATAGGATTAGGTCAAAGGTCATCAGAATGGGAGGGCTAGCTGTTCCATCTGTCAGGCTTTTGGCTGATGATGTGTTTGGCACTCTGCTCCAGTTCTCCTCCTGTTGCTGACTATGACTGAGGCTTTCTACACACTGGCAAACAACACAAACCTGCTAAACAACTAATTAACTAACTAAACACATCACACTTCACAAACATACATGGAGGACTCACAACTTGTCATGTCTTGGCATTTCTGTAGCTGGACTAGTAGAACATGACAACAGCAGCCAAGGTAATAAGTTCCCAGGAAATACACTGATAAAATGTATACATTAGAAGTAATGGCAAAGTGAATTAATGCAATGTAAATGTCTTGATGTAGAGATTTAACTCTTGATGTACTGTATGCTCAGTTTCATAATGCACTGCTATGAATTGAGGGAAATGTTTATTTCAAAAATAACTTTTTCATTTAGTACAAAAACACATCTAGGGATGCACGACATTATCAGACCGATATCGGAATCAGCCAATAATGGCTTTAAATGTAAATATTGGCATCGGCCCAATATGAAAAATTATGCCGATATATCTTACCGATAAGATGAATAACTCACATGTGCTCAGGGTGTGCTAGCAATTAGATCACGTCAGCAGTGTGGTCATTCTTGAAGCGAACTTTTGCCTGAATGATGATTAGATTATTATGAGCGAATTATGAGCTCTAAAAGATTTTCAGAATTTATACAACTCTTGCTTTAGACCATCTACAAATGTTAAATGTTAAAATAAAATGTTGAGGTTACCACTGCATCTTTCTGAGAAAAAAAAATGCAGTGATTGATATGTAGTTGATTTATAATTATTTTCAAAGCTTCAATGTACTGTAATTATAAAATAACTTCATTATTGTTTATTTCATTCTAACAAATACGTTGTTGTTAAAAAACTAACCAAAATTAAAAATAAATTGTTTATAATTTCCACAAAGGAGAGACTATTGGTATAAGGTATTGGCCAAAATGAGTTGAAAAATATCGGCAAAAAATCCGATATCGTGCATCCCTAAACACATCTTTTAAAAGTAACTAGAAGATGGTTTCATTTAATAAAAAAATTTCATCCAATATTTACTGCAAAATAAAGAGAAATGTTCGTTTAAAAATATCACTGTGTCATTTAGTACAGACAAAATATTGGGTCAGACCTGACTTGGGGTCCTTTTACGATCTCTACTTTCTTGTCAAAAATAAAGACAAAAGAGCCTACAAAATATTTAAATTATGTATATAAATATTTGATGTGAGTTATTGAAACTATTTTCTAGTTATTTTTAAAGATATAAAAGTAACTACAGAAAATAGTTTAATTTAATTAAAATGAACTTTTGCCCAATATTAGTGGATGCTATACATGTGCCAGTTGCAGCTTAGCAACATGCTAATGTCAGACATTTTTTATGAGTCCCTTGTGAGCTGCTGTCTAAAAGAGTATTTTAATTCAGACACTAATAAGATTTACAATGTAGCTGCCTATGCAGATGGTAGACAGCCAGGCAGCTCACTAGGGTTTGAAACAGAGCCAATGAGAGTACAACAATGTGACAAATCAAATTGTTTTCATAGTTGTCATCCAATTAAAATGCAAATAGATGTAGATTTCTTGCCATAATGGCAATTTATAAAATTTGACCCCATTAATTTGTAGTTAATTTTCAAAGCATATTCCCAGTTAAGTTCGCATTTTAACAAGAATGAAATGAACATTGATTGTGGTGTTTGATAGAACATCAGAAATTTGCAGAGATCAAGGGGCATTGTGTCGGGGATCAGGGTACCCAGTGTGCAAGAGTGTTTCAGAGGCTGGACAGAGTGTGTTCATTATTCATAGTAATTGTGGCAAAGCTGAATAATGTCTCAAACTGACTCTGAGCGGCGAGGTTAATTATCATCGAAAACAGATGCCTTGAGCTTGAGCAGCAGAGCGTTGGGAGAATAACCAGAGCTATTGTGTAACAGTCATTTTCTTTTGTTGCTCTGAGTCAACCAAGCTGTGTAACCACAGTGGTGCGGAGACCTTTCTGAGTCAAGATGGTCGGGTTCAAACTGCTGAACCTGTCAACTGGCCTCAAGGCTTGAGGGGAAGGCTCTCGAAGAGAGCAAGTGTGGCGTCCTGAGAGCTACCGGTTGGAGTGATTCTACACGCAGGACCGTTTGTGACGGGCGCCGTAGAACGGATGTGATGTTGTGTGACCGTAAGCGTTGAGGGAACGTTAGTAATCACAGGTTATGGATAAACCCTTTTGAATATGTGTCACCATCTGAGACTGTGCAAATCGCTATGAACACAAATTGCCTGTTCATTTACATTTCCCCTCGGTCTGAAGTACCAGGGAGTAATTGGGTGTTTTTTTTTTCTTTGGGCATTTTATGTACCTAAGGGTGGATTTTTATTAAAACTGTTTAATTTATTTATTTATTTTTGTTACATATATTCAAATGCCCTTTCATTGCCTTTTATTGCATTTATATGCATTTTTATTCTATTTATCTAAACAGAGTAAACCAGTCAGCAGTCAGTAACTATCATGAATGAATGAATGAATGAATAAATAAACAATTTATCTCTCAATAAAGTCTGAAAATGAAACTGATTTTTATCAAAAATGGCTTTCTCACAAATGATATATATATATTGATATACAAATTAAAATAGAAAGTGAAAATTCAGGTTTCAGAAAGTATTTTTAAAGAGCCTAAAGTGCCAGAGAAGCACTCAGTTCTGGCATGGAAATAGATGTCAAACAGTATTCATCTTCATGTTTTGCCTACATAGCGCTATGACAGAAAGGCAGAAGGGTTAGAGTGAAGTAAATCTTTATCATCACTACGCAGCATCTGTCTGTGTTCCTCTGTTTTTGCCGCGCTAGACGGCAGATCGTGACAGGTCCATGCGTCTTACTTTTACAGGCGGCACCTGCACACATTCAACGCACTGGATTATATTGGTGGAGAAAAGCTCAAGTATTCTGCATCAGCACTCGCCCATTCATCACTTAATGCAGGTCTGTCAGGGTTCCTGGATGCCCCGGTCAATACAGCACCCTTCTCCCCAGGCATTCATCAGCCCAGGCACCGGTTGGCACAGAGACGTGTGTGTGATGGAGGGAGGCGGCTAAAACAGTAATTTAAGCCACTGTAATGGAGTGTCTTTTTCTGGCTGGATCTCAGAAGGGGCATATCTGTCTGAGTCAAATGCAGCAACCCTTTATTTTACAGTTGTCTGCAGGAAAGCAAAGTGATAATTAATGTGGTGAATGTGTCTCCAAGTGCGAAAGCAAGGGTGGAAGTGAAAGTGTACGTGTGTGAGAGTGTGAGTGAGAGTGAGAGCGAAGTTGCATGTGTGAAATTGAGTATGAGAGATAGAGAGATGGGCAAAATGACCAGACACCTATAGTAAGGTACCGTAGGTGTAGAAGAGGACTCAGATCTTTCTCAGGTCTTGCCAATGGTGTCACGTCAGGCATGGCATCCTAAATGTAATTCTGCCTTCACCTCTGCTACATACACGAGTAACCTTTAGCTCAATATTGTGGTGGGCTGGAATCAATTGTGGAAAAAAACATGCTTATAAAGGTATTGAGAAATTAGCTTAACAACATTTCAATGTTAAACTTCTTGAGCTCATTGAGTGCTTCTCATTCGTTACAGCTTAGAAAAAACTTCTCAAATCAGCTATTTATGAGGCTTTATTTTGGTTATAATGCTGCATTAGAATTTAGCTGGATATTAACACAATTGGTTCATTAGTTTGCCAAATTTTATGGAGTTTCTTTTAAATTTAGAATTTCAAAGAGACTGTTGCACCAGTATCTAATAATAATAATAATAATAATAAAACAATCCCTTGGACATAAAAGCACCTAGCTGAAGAAACACCCACGCACAAACAGCTGCAGATGTTTCAGTGTTAACTTGAAAATATGAACGAGTGTACAGTGAATTGGATAGTGGTTAGATGCATGCATTTAGCTCCATGCTTCACAGTGAGAGCTGCAGTGTGTTGCGGACCGAAGCACAGGGCACTTAGACAAACGAAATAACAAAACTCATTTACTCGCTTATTTACAATTAGAATGAGAAGGAACATGTTTGGTTGCCGCCTGTTTCTCAAGCTCATTATTTTTCAGCACTGGGTGAACAATGGAAGTTAAAAAATGGAAACAAAATAATCAAAAATGGATCTGACAGACCTTGCCAATCACTGTCAATGCTGGAGCTCAATCAATGCCTTTCAGGGTTTCAAAATTATGCAAACAGCAAATGTAATCAAGTGAAGACCATTTTGTGTCGTGTTAAAAAAAATTCACTCACGTGGGATTTTGTGCAGTTCATTCATGAACTTGTCTTTGACTTTGGAGAACATCTCATCTTTGGTCTCGTGGGGACCGGGTCCTGCTGCCTCTGTGCTGTTGCCTGATACCTCAGGCGCTGCACTAGGCACAGGGTTCCCCACCAGAGCCTCCCTTCGACTCATTGCTGGATGTGGCAGCCAGGCAGAAGCTAACCAAGGAAAGACAAAAGAGGGTTACTCATATTATCTGGAATATTAATAAGGAAATGTCATGTGCACATTCACAATTCTTCCAATATCTTTGTCTGTTGGTTAATGTATACCACAAGGATTTGTAGGTGCCTACAATTATGGCCTAATAAATTTATGTTGAACAACTACAGAAAAATTGTGGGAATTTTGATTCATTCCACTGATTTGAATCTTTTGATTCTGTTAAACAACAGCTAATTCAGATTCGTTCCAGTGGAAGTTTTTGTAGGTTACATCAATACACATGTAGGTGGCACCAATGAGTGTTGTAAGTGAGTCACTGAATTATTCACTCAACTAATTTCACATTCCACTGCTGAAGCTAACAGCCAATCCTTGATACAAAGACTCACATGTGGAACTGAATGGATATCATGACCTTTTTTGTTTAGTCATTATTGGTCGGAAGATTCTTGTTCATAAACAACATGTTCCAGTTCATTCTGTTCGTTAATGAACTAAATTCTCTCATTCAGTGAGTCTCATTCAGACTCAGAACGATGACTTTTTCAATAAAGAGGCATATTCATTCACTTAGCTTGTTCAAACAATAAAATACTTTGGTAACACTTTCTATGAAGCCCGCATTTATAATACATTATAAGGATATTCTTAAGGCATTATAATGAATGCACAATGCATTATAAAAAAACGTATAATATGTTATATCAACTCATGAATAATCATAACAACAGTTATAATACATCATAATACTTACGTATTTGTGGTTATAAGTTTAAGAGTATGATTATTTATAACACACAATGAACACCATATTAAATCTACTTCATTTACAGAATAATGGACTGTATCATATCTTGACATTGTTTATTTAAGATCTGCACAGTATCTTACTACAGCTTGTGAGTGGTTAGATGTTGAGTGTTATTTGAGTGTTTCCTGTGGAGCTAATGTTAATTAATTGATGTGAGCTTTATACTCCAAGTCTCCAACTGAAAAAAATGCAATGTTTTATATGGTTACATTTTATTTTGATGGTCCCTTAATCAATCGACTATAAGCAACTTTGCAACTACATGCCAACTAACTCTCATTAGAGTATTAGTATGCTCAAGAATGGTAGAATCTAGTATGGTAGAATAAGTTGACGTACTTGCAAATACACTTATAATCAGTTTATCTTTTGGTTGACCATCAAAATAAAGTGTTAGCAAATATTTACAGTAGCAGACATACTAATACTCTAATGACCGCTAGTTGATATGTAGTTGTCACTTATCAACAGCTGTTTAAAGGGTACAATCAAAATAATCAAACTGATATTACAATAAAAATAGTTCAAAGCAAATGTGTCATATTACACATTCATCTGATCTGATATCTGATCTTATAGCTGTTTGAGAGAAATAAATATTATTATGATTATTATTATTATTATTACTACTTATAAGTGGTCTTTGACCGCTTTAAGTAAAGTAGCATAAGAAAAATGGCAATATATGAGACTTATAATACATTATAATGATAAGAAATATAATCCATTGTAAAAGTGGATGCAACATGTTCATTGTGTTATAAATCATCATACTCTTAAAAGCTATAACCACAAATAAGTAAATATTAAAATATATTAAAACTGTTCTTATGAATATTCATGAGATGATACAACATATTATAAGGTTTTTTATAATGCATTATGCATTCATTATAATGCCTTAAGAATACCCTTATAATGTATTATAAATACGGGCTTCATAGAAAGTGTTACCAATACTTTTTATGGGCCACACAGGAAATGTGCTTAAGTCTTCTAAAGTCACCAAAGCAGTCATATAATTTACAAAGGAAAATCAGTGCATAAAAAAGTTTAAGTCGTTCACTTAAAACACTCGTTCACAACACCATTAATGGGGGATATAGATAGAAGCAGATAACAGGTCAGGAAGTGAGAGATGGAGTGAGAATGAGAAAGATGAAAACTCCAGTGTGTGAGAGGAAGGTGGAGAATGAGGTGTGATTTCAATGGGAAGCCTCGACTGCAGCATGAACGAACACGCTTTGAGGTGTGTTTAGCTGTTTAAACATCCTCCCATCCATCCTTCCTAATCTCCCGCTCGCATTTACTCAGTCCTCTGTTCATTTTCTCACTTGCTTGCCTACAGACTCTCTCTGCCTCCCCAGTTCATGTGCAGTCAGTGTCGTATCTCTCTCGCCGGTACCGGCATGACCCCAGGAGGTCCTGAAGACCCACAGTAGGTCGTAGTATGTGCTGATGAACAGCGAGCAGACTGTGAGTCTTGTTCTCTTCTATCCACAGGACACGCAAGATCCGCCTACTCCTGCACAGCCGGTGTCACTGCCATTGTACCTGCTCTGTAATTACTGCCATTGTCAATCACACAGATGTAATAATAATAGATGGAATGAATGCGGCAGGTACGAAACCTCAAAGTTTAGAGGAGTCAGAATGAACTTGCAGTAAGTTTAATTAGACTTTCTATTGGGTAGGACGGCTCTCCTCCTTTCTCTGCAGGTGACTGGCTGGAAAGAATATGAAACCGTTGGAGCTGTTGTGTTGGACAGGTTGTCATCACTGTGCTCATGTCGCTATGGTGACAGCAGGACTGATGGCCTACAGGTTATATGGAGTGTGTGGCGGGTTTCTTGTAGTTTGAGAGAGTTTGAAGGGCAAACTAGATAAGGGCAAACTGAAATATTTCAGAAAATGGGGTGCTTGGTGTTTCGTCTGACAAATTAGGTATAAATTAGAAGTTTAGCTGGTTCAGAGATACTTTAAGAAATGCTTATTCTCTTGCTTGAAGTGTCTGATCAGTTTTCTGTCTTAGACACATAACAACTATATAACCAACTTACAAAAGTCCTATAGAAACTGATTTTGAACAACTGAGATGTGTAACCAAAGCTGGTGTGGTATAAAACAGTTATAAAACAGTTGTATACACATCTTTTTTCAGGAGTCTTTGATGAATAGAAAGTTAAAAACAGATTTTAGCTGAAAGAGAATACTTTTGTAACATAAATTAAGCCTTTACTGTAACTTTCAATCAATTCAATGCATCCTTGCTGAATGAATACATAACTGTTTTCAACATTAACAATAATAATAAATGTTTCTTGAGCAGCAAATCATCATATCAGAAGGATTTCCGAAGAATCATGTGACAAGCCTGGAGTTGTCATGAATCCTGTCCATGGACTTCCATTACAGTGACTCTCGCACAACACAACGCATATGGATCCGCACGTCTCACGTCTTGTCAGCCCCGTAGCAGGAGTAATGATGCTAAAAATTCAGCTTGGCCAACACAGGAATATATATATATTTTTTTATATAAATGCATTTTAAAGTATATTCAAATAGAAAACAGTTATTTTAAAGTGTAAAAATCTTTCACAACATTACTGTTTTGCTATATTTTTGATCAAATAAATGCAGCATTGGTGAGCAGAAGAGACTTCTGTTAAAAACATAAAAAAATCTTGCTGCTCTAAAGCTTTTGAATGGTAGTGTACACTTCTATTAAAATGGATATTAATTAAACATCTATAATGTATTATAATGAAGGAAGAGTTGGAAAAAAAGTAGTGCAGATCTCTCTCTCTCTCTCTCACACACACACACACACACACACACACACAAAATCACAAGGATATCCTCCACCTCAGTATGAAGTACCATAGCACTAACAGTAGACACCATCAATGTACAGTGTTACAGCCCCAGTACTTTAAAAAAAAATAAGGAATAAAGATGTTGACCAACAGCTGGTCAAGCCTGTGTGCTGCTGGCTGCAAACTGACGCTAATGATTTATCCACACCCTAACCAAGCTGCAGACTCTATGGGGAAGTGTTTACATATGTACACAGCAGCAGCTGTGTGGTCTGCTGACACAATAGGGTGTGAAGAGCACAGGATTCAACAGCTGTGGCACTCACTAGCCATGGCTAGTTTTGGTTACACATCTCAAATCAGTTCAAAATCAGTTTTTATAGGATTTTTGTAGTTGGTATCTAGTTGCCATGTGTCTAAGACAGACAACTGATTAGGCACTGGTCTTTAAAAAACTACATGTCAAGTCTGGGCTAGTCTGGTTAACACAAGGTATGCTACTGGTACAATAACTAGCATTTCTCAAAGTTTCACATTGCAAAATTTGCCCTTGTAGCATATAAGAGAAAAAAAAAGTTTGTAGAAGGTTGTTTTCTGGATCACAAAGCTTGACAGGAGCTTCTGCTGACAGTCGAAAGGCGCTGTGTGTTTTTTGGAGTGGCGTGTCACTCTCGTGATATGATGTGGGAGGCAGTTGAGCTGGCAGCCAAGCTGAACTTTGCGAAGGTGGAGGAGGATGGGGGGGGGGCTTTTGTGTGCTTTTGTGTCTGTTACTCACAAACGGGTCGAGGCTGTGCAAGAATGTCCGTTAGGCCATTACTACTTGTATCACACAGACAAAAGCAAGTTGCACGTTTAAGAGCTAAAACAGCAGGATGCGAGAGACATGCTCGTAGGAGGCAACTTTGTGTAAATCAAATGAAAGTGCCCAGTGAACAGACTTCACAAGGATTGCAGCCCCCTCCATCCAAACAGCAGAACAGCCATTTTAAAGCAAAACTGCATAAAACATAGCAAAGGCAAAGGCGCTAATCATCCAGACTTTAAAAATACAATCTCCATGAAATGGTAACAATGTCTCTGCAGGTCTCTATTAGATTTCAGAGCTCTAATAGCAGGAGCAGTTCTTGCATTTGGAGATTTTGTGTAGTGTGCCTTTGAGATGAATGATTCATTTGAAAACATACTCTGTTTGATGATTTGCACAAACAGAACAGCTCAGAAATGAGTTTTAACACAATGGCTGCATGTTCATTTTCAGATGCCATTCAGTGAACAAATCAGACATTGGGAGGGCTGGTACAACTAACTATAGCCTCGCATTGCCAGACTTTTCACTGTAAAACATCATCAAATTTGTAAC